CACGCATGTGACTGTGTCAGTCTCTCCCCTTTAGGCCTTCATCGTCAAGTGCAAGAAAGAGGGAGCTTTAGATGATCTCTGGCTCTATGCATCGACCCTGTGCGTAGGAAAGCGAGGTCCATGGACCATGATGATGCCAATGGTGAGACTGGTAGTTTGGGTGAGTCGACCTGTAAGAAGAAGGATGCCGCTAGCTTGGGTGACTCAATCAATCTGGAAGAAGGCTCTCACAAGCGCAAGAGCGATTTTGGTGCTTGGACATTCTTAAAATATCAACAATAAATTAAAGATAGATTAGTCATAAATTTTGTCTTCCTTTCAAAAAAAAACTTCAATTTGAAGGGAATTAAAATGAGAAAAGGAGAGAAAATTTTTTAGCTCCTCTTCACTCCAAAATTCATAAACCAAATGAGGGGAGGGGAGCCATTTTTCTCCCCTCCCTTCCAAACCTTCTGACTAAATACATCTTTAGAAGGAGAATTATGATTTGAAAAGGGAGAATGAAGTTAAATTCCAAAACTTTCAAAACTTTAAAATTAACTATGGTTACTTGGATTTTTTTTAAAATGAGTTGTAAATATCATTTAAATAAATATGAATTTAAAAATTTCAATTACAAATGATATATTTAAATTTTACTCCATTCATTTAAAAATGCAAGGCATTGTTAACTAAATCTTACTTCTTAACAAAATAGTTACTTATTTTCGACATTATCTTTCTATATTTACTTTTATGTAATAGGATGTTTCACTCTAAATTAAATATAAAGTGATTATTCAATGGGGTATTTTGAAAAAAGTGTAATAATTATATCTTGAAATATTCAAAATACCTTATATTTTTTAACATTCAATTCCTCAAAAAATATCTTATATTTTTAATAGAGGGAGTAAATATAACTATCAAATTATATTAAAAATTTTTGTATGTAATTATCTAAATCAATATTTATAACTCATCTTTTTAGAGAATTTCATCAAGTACTTAACTATTACTAATTGAATGTTTTGGAACCGTCATGTACTTTGTTGAAAATGTATATTTCAATATGATGAGGTATGTTTGGAGTATTGTTCTACCTAAATGTGTCAGAGTTGGCTTCTTGGCATTACAAGACAGACTATTGGTTGAGTTTCATAAAATTCTTTCTTTACTAAATTTACTAATTACTTAATCAACATATGAACCGCTTAAAAAGTAAGAAACAAAAATGATATGAGACTTTTAATGGGAAAATTTTAAAGGATAATTTAAAAAAGTATTCTAACAAAACTTTAATCTATAATTTTTTTTAAGGAAAAATTATGCATAAGTCCCATGGAATAAACTTATTTATCAATAAATTTCATGAAATTAGAAAATTAGAGCCAGGTCCATTGAGACCTAGATGTAATTTAAAATTAAATTATAAAGACAATAAGACTCTAATAAAATATACATTACGTCAATCAAATAATTAATTTATAACTACTTCATCAACAATTTTTAAGTATAATTTTAGCTTTTTACAACTATAACTTCACATGTCTAATAGTTAAACAATTATGCATTATTAACAACTACTTCATTAGTAATTTACAATTATAAATTTAACTTTTTTACAAACTTTACATATTTAATATTTAAACTGATCAGTTTAATTATTGAATAAATGAAGTTAGAATTGTAAAACGTTGAAGTTATAGTTGTAAATTATTGATAACTAAGTTATAAATTATTTGACTAATATAATGAATATATAATAAGGGTATTATTATCTTTTTATCTCAATTTTAAATTATACTCAAATTTTAAGGGGCTTAATCGTGGTTTTTTAAATTTTGTAGGATTTATTTACAGATAAGTCAACTTCATAGAACTTATATTGAATTTTTCCTTGTTTTTATGAGAAAAAGTATGGCAATGCAATGCCCATTTACTTGCTGAACTCATTACATAATGAAGTTGAAAAAATCCCTCTATTAAAAAGAAAGGCGAAATAAATGGATAGAATAAGGGAGAAAAAAAAAAAACGAACATAGGCAAAACATAGAGCATGAAACTCGCATAAATACAAGCGCTTTGTTTCTGTCTGTTGAAGCAGAACAGAATACTGTCTTCTTTATGGTGAAATAAAGGGCAATGGGCACTCCAATCATGCACAAATATATCCAATCCCACTTAGAGATTAGTATAATGGTCCATGCTTTTAAGATACAAACAATCAATCACTCTCAAAACCCAATAACCAAAGCAAATAGTTTATTAAAGTGTACAACAACAATGCTGCAGATCTTGTGATAAATCTGAGGAAGCGAAACAACATTTTCTCTTGCTTGGCTTCAACACTATAAATGAGGGCAAGGAAATCATCATGCTTCAAATCCGGGGAGAATCAGTCCCCCAATTCTGAAGAAAACAATAATATAAGAATTTATTATATATGACATCATAATAACTTTCTTGCCTGAAATCCTTTTAGCTATATATTAAACTTCTAACAAAATCAAAATAGATATAAACACTTTATATGCAACCCCCGGGTAAATTTGTGAAATTCTCCCTTCAAAATTTCTCTAGATGTAGGGGTTCAAATGACAAGTTGAAGCTCAATTGGGCATTGATCCCTTCATTTCATTTTTTTTCCTCTTCAAAGCTATAATCTTTTAATGGAACCTTTATAATCAAAACATTTTTTTAACAAATAAAATTATATTCCTACGAACAAGCTGTTACTAGTTGATATAGTAGTGAAAGTTTCAAAGAATAATCTTGTAAAAATTATCAATGTTGATAAAAGAAAGGAAATTTTAGTACCAAAGAAATAAAAGAATGTCACCTGAATCACTGGCCCCCCCGACTGCCTCTACCTCGCATGAAGTTAATTGAGTCAAGATATCAAGGTCCTCATCAATTGCAGAAAAGATGTGATTAAATTTATCAGGCCGATCTTGTTGTCCCCACTCTGCTTCATTCCATGTGAGTGCTTCCCACCATTCAGATTCTCCTATGATATCTCTCAACGTTTGGCTTAATAGTTCCTTAGAGGAAAGGCTTTTGTGTTTCGGACAATAATAAAATCCCATCCTCTCTAAGCTTCTTCCAATAGGCACTCCACTTGAAATGCTAACTAGTATTGGTACAAAGAGAAGTGATAACTTTCTCAATCTTGGGAGGAAAATGTATGTCGTTGGCTCTCCTAAGGTTTGGTAACTGATGATGCTACTTACCTTGGGACAGTCGTCAACTATAAGCTCCTCCAAGTGGGAGAAATTATAAAGCATGCTCATGGTGAAGATGGGGGTTAAATTAGGGCAAGTATGCAGTGCTAAGAACATTAGCTTACAAAAAGGGAAATTGCCAAGAGTTGCCCTATTAATGATGCTTGTCAGATTTTTCATGTGGAATATAGTCAAGAATTTCAGCTCACCAAAGGAGTCCTCAAGCACGTTTGAGTTTTCATCTCCATCTACAATGCTTTGCATTTCATTACACCCTGCCAAAATGCATAATTGTTGCCGCCTCAAATTATTCAGCCCGAATTGGATTAGGTTCTTGATGGTCATGTGGCAGTCTAAAAAAAAAGGCCTTTGCTTTAGAAAGAATGCACGCCACTTCATTTGGAAAATTCTTACCGTTCACAAATCTTAAGCTGCAACTACTTGCTGCAAACTTTTCTTCAACAGTAGGCAATACACGTGATATTATTCTTGGCATATGATGGCCCGCAATGAATCTAAAAATTAACAAAAACTTTTGTATGATGGGCTCGAGAAAATTAACTCTTACTCTTGGGATGTATATGTCCAATTTTTTTAACTCTTCTAATGCATTAATTTCTTCAAGGATATGTTCGACGTTGTTGAGCCACCACTCATTATCTGAGTTAACATCAATGCATAATTCCTCCAAATTAATTTTGAGTTTGGATAGAACACCAAAAGGTATCATTGCAAACCCGGATGATGACATGAATTTATTCATATGACCACTACCATGATGAAATCCAAGAAGAGAGAGATAATGTATTTAACTTGGTCAACTTTTGGATGTCATTTGGCAAATGTGTAATTTGAGTGCCATGGAGGTCAAGCTCGATAAGATTTGTAAGTTGACCAATATTTGCAGAAAGTTTTAGAAAAAGTTCGCAATCTCTCAAATAGAAATATTTAAGTTCTCGTAAATTATAAAATGATCTTGGAAGATCATGTATGCTACTAAGGGACAAGTCAAAGAGTTTGGAGTTGAGGTATGTGGTCAAAAAATGAGGGCGGTACTTCCATCAAATTGAGGTTGTTTCCTAAAGATAAAATTCTCAAGTTAGGAAAATTTAGAGAATGTGGAAGATCCATAATTGAAGTTTCATCAAGATAAAGCTCCACAATATGATGGAGTTGAGCAATTTCTAAGGGCAGCTGTGTGAATTGCTTACACCCTGTCAAAGACAATGTTTGAAGTTGATCCAACTCAAAGACGAAACTGGGTAAGCTTTGTATGCCACTATAGGATAAATTTAGGCTTCTAACAGGAAAAGTTGTTAGAAACTTTCAGGCTTCATGTGAATCCCAAACATTTGGGGGCTCTGTCAATGGTAATGGTCCTCTCATCAAGTAATCATGTGATTTTTTCTCTAGCATTGCATCTAAAATAATTTTCAATTCTTCTGGCAATAGGATATATTGTCCATAAATATCTTCAATTTCTTGTAAAATAGAAGTCTCCACAAGCTCTCTCAAGGTATGCTCTGCCTCTTCTTCATTGACAATTAATTGTTCAAAGAACCAGCGGGCAAACAATTCACCTTTACTCATCTTAGCTTATAATTTGAAGGCATTTAAACATTAGGTAAGGCGAGGCTTTTTTCTTTTAGGAATAACATCCTCCCATACGATGTTGATGAATGCATTTTCTATTACTTCACTCACATGTTTGAATGCAATTAGTTTGTAGGGTGGGCTACGATATCCCAACTTTTGCAGCATTTCCTCCCAGATTTGAACATCTTTCACATGTTTCAGCTACTTTGCCATGAAGACAATGGCAAGAAGATGGCCAGCACACTCCTCAACGATCCGTACTGCAACTCTCTGGATGGCACTTGATGAGTGCACAAGCTCTCTGCCAACATTCTTGCAGAAGACTTCCCAAGGCAGAACATGATCCTCTATCCTGATTCTAACATCCACCTCGTAAGCCAATTCATCATTTTGGGGTGCCGATGATTCTGTTGTTATAATTACTACAACATCTGTAGAATATAGTTTATTTAGAGGCATACTCACCTTTCGAAGGTCTACTTTTTTGTCACCATCCCCATCCACTAGAAGCACCAAATTTCTGTGACTTTTATTTTGCCCTGGAAGCTCTAAAACTTCACACTTGTAATATTCTCTCCAACGCCTTACAGGATCAGTCTCCTCCATCCACATTGAAACATCAAAAAAATAGAAACTCTTCATCGATCTGATCGAGATGAATGATTTGGAGAGCCTCAAGTGTCTCCCCCGTTTGGAAATTTGCTTTGATGTCTTCCACAACAGTTCGTTTTTCTAAATCATTTCTCGTTAAGAACCACACAACAGGCATTCTCCACTCAAAGTGGTCATAAGAATCTGATAAAGATTGAACTAGTTGGTTAACAGCAAGACGATAAGATAAGTCAAGGATGGGTGGTGGCATATGTTCGGAGATGATGCTACCCCCATTGATTATTTGTTCTGTTATGTCTTCCGGTATAATCCCTTTCACATGTCTCAGTGGACTTTCAGACAAACAATGTTGGAGCCTTTCCTGCGAACCCTCTTGGGCTCTTAAGTCTGAAAATTCTATGATCCATTTCCACATAGAATGCTCATAGCCAAGCTTCATGGGATAACTCAAGATGAAGTGTAAAAAATCCCTCATCCTCACCAGACTCGATAGATCTTGCACACGATTTCCGAGCACAAGCTTTCAAACATAAAAAAAAAAAAAGATACTTTTTTAAAAGATTGACACCTATTATTACATAACTAACTTTTAACTACTGCTGAGATTGACACCTATTATTACATAACTAAACAAAAAATCCCATCACCATACAATGTACATAGCATTCAAGAATCTAGAGAGCTTGAACATGTCTGTCATAGTACTTTTTTTAAAAGAAAACACACATTGCTTTCAAAGTTTAACTAACTTTCTAGTTAAGAGATAAATTATGTAATTCTTTCAATATCAAATCAAAATAAGTTAATTTTTTTAAAAAAATAAAAAATATTAATCACAAGAGCTACTTATTAGGAAAATCCTAAATGGAAGCAAAAAATTTAATTTGACTGAAAAAGTGTCTTAATTAAAAACTCATCTTAGCTCATAGTTTGAAGGTCACAAACATAGTGTAAGGTGAATTTTTTTCCCAAGAATAATATCCGCGGAGATGATGTTGATAAATACATTTACTATTACTGCTTTGGTCTTATTTATATAATATTTTACAAAAATAATTTTTTTAAAATTTTATTCTTTAAATTAAGAAAATATTTGTACAAATGATAAGGTAATTCATTGTTTTCTTTTAGTTCCTAAGGGTATAACTAAAGTTGTTATGTTCTTTCATAAATAAAACAATGTGATAACTTTTTTAAAAAATATGTGAAAAATGTCTCAGATATTATATAAATTTGATGGGAGGCATCACTCACACGTTTAAATTCAGTCCGGTTGCAGTATGGTAGGATCGAATTCTGTAACTTTTGCAACATCTGGTTCCAAATTTGAACATCTCCCACATCTTTCAACAACTCTGCTACATAGACAATGTCATGAAGATGGCCATCACACTCCTCAACGATCTGCGCTGCAACCCTCTGGATGTCACCTGATGAGCATACAAGCCCTTTGCCTATATTCTTGCAGAAGACTTCCCAAGGCAGAACATGATCCTCTGTCCTAATACTAACATCCACATTGTAAGCCAATCAAACATTTTGGAGTGCAATGATTCTGTTGTTATGATTACAACACCACCCCCAAAATATGCTACACGTGGCAACTTTCGAAGGTCTACTCTTTTGTCACCATCCCTATCCACTAGAAGCACCAAATTTCCGTGCCTTTTATTTTCCCCCGGGAGCTCTAAAACTTCAAATTCCTAATCTTTCTTAAAAGACTCTGCACTAGTAGTCGATAGATACCGAATCATTGAAGCATCATCAATTTCATCGGTCTCACTAAGATGAATGATTCGGAGACTCTCAAATGTCTCGCTGATCTGACAATTTGCTTTGATCTCTTCCACGACATTTCGTTTTTCTGCATCATTTCTCGTTGACAAGCATACAACTCCCATCCAATAAAATGAGTTAACACGGCTTTCTGGAGAAAAAGTCTGAGCCAGTTGGTGAACAGCAAGACGAGTAGCCAAGTCAAGAATGGGTTGAGGCACATGATTGGGTGGTGGGTCTTTGCTGGTAGCAGTAGCAAGCTCCTTTGAGTCGCTTTTGTTGAAGATGATGCTACCATCATTCTTAATCTCTTCTGTTATGTCCTCTGGTATTATCCCTTTCACATATTTCAGTGGACTTTCAGACACAAGATGTTGGAGCCTTTCCTGCGAACAATATTGGTCTCTTGACATTGAAACTTGGGACATCCATGACTTCAGAAACATTTCATCATAGTCAAGCTTCATGGGGTAGCTCAAGATGAGGCATAAAAAATCCCTCATCCTCATCAGACATAGCAGATCCTGCACAGGAAGTTGTTAAACAAGAAAGCATCACATATCAACAGCAACAACACGTTTGACCCCCTCAACCTCAAAATCTAACAGACACAACTACAGACAAAATCTGATCATCTAACTTCTTGTTAGATGGACACTTCAAATATAAATTTAGAAATTCTAAATTTTGTAGCATGGTGAAATGAAGGAACAGTGCCGTTCTCAGAAGTTCGTATTTCATATTAGATTGGTGAAGTCGTGAAGATATTTATTAATTTCAATTCTCATGGGATAAATTAATTCTATATGTGACTTTAAAGAAATGGGACAGAAAATATCCTCATCCAACTTACAATTTCTTCCTTTGTAGGAATGGGATCCTCAGTTGACTCAGACATCTTTTTCCTCGCGGACCCAGTCTGGCAACCAAAGAATAATGCATTGAAAAACATATCAGGTATTATGAGGTTAAGATAAATGAAAAACAACAACAACAACAACAATCTAACTTCTCATTAGATTGACGCCTATTATATGAATTAAAAATTTATAAACAAAAGAATATGTTTTTTTTAATTTATTTTTTGGCAAAAACGACAAAATTTTACTCCTGTTCCTCCATGTCATGCAATCACGTTCTAGACGAGTTTTATTATCCAAAATGTAAGTCATTTTGCAAGATAATGAAAAGCGTTAGGTTTTTTTTCCCCAAAAATATCCTTGTTTTAATTATTAAAAAAATTATATATATATATATAATTATAATATTCAATGGGAGTAAATATAAAATAAAAGAAATGTTAAATAATTTTATTAATATGACTAACTTGATTATAATAAAATAGTTGAAAGCATAAGGGAAAAGTATATAGGATAACAAGTAAAAGTCAATAACCCCGGACAAAGAAAAGATCTTGTGAATGAAACTTTGTAGCCGAACAGCAAAATAGGTGAAGTCCCTAACTAGCAAAGAGCCCAAAATTTAGAACAAATAAAGTATGCCACAGAGACAAAACATGCGCATAACTATATGTAAGGGAACAATTGAAATTTGGAGTCACTCTTAAATGCAATTTGAGATTGCAAATTGGGAAAAGGATGCGATGCTTCTGAGGAAAAACGTTAAATCATCACAGTCAGTTTTTCACAATCAAAGACTGCAATACATTATACAAATATTAGCTAGATTAAAATGAACAACAATAATCACAACGTCATCAATACTCTAACTTGTTAAATTTATGTATACAAATAATTAAAAAACTATCATAGGTGCAATATAATCACAATAATAACCAGGTTGGAAAAACTGAGAATTCTTTACAATTAATGAAATTTTGATGGACTTATTTGAGATTAAAGGGGACTTAATTGTCATTTAACCCACCATATGAACCGTGACAAGAGGACGCTACTTATTGGGAACTTGCTCTTGGATGAGCCCAGCTCTTTTCCTGGTATTGGCGGGCTCTGGTGTTCCAATCGTCGCCCCTAGTGGGATTTAAAAAGACATCAAATTCGTTTCATCCTTTAAACATGTGATGGGAGGTTTAATTTCTCACTTATGTTAATGAAAAGCACTCTATAGCTAGCCGTTTGCTTTCTTGTGAGAGACCCCGCGACGAAGGGATTAATCACTGCTACCGGTGGTGAATACCTTGAGCAATTAAAAAAAAAAAGACATCAGATCAAGAACAAGAATAACAAGTTGGTCCAGTATATAATTTAAATTAAAAAAATTTCATGATAAAATACGAAAGAATATATTAAGATTCATGAAAGACATTAAGCTTCCAAATTAGATGACTTGTAGAACAAAATCCTTTTATGACACCCTCAAAAGCTAACATATACACAATCACACATTTCAAAAAAAAAAGGAAAAAAAGAAATTTCCCAAGTACGCACCCCACCAAAACCACAAATATGGATCAAATGCTAAAGTCCCATTTGATTATTAAAAGAGAATGAAATTAATTGAAAAAATTAAAATTAAAATAAAATAAATTACATTTTCTTTTTATAACAAGCATAATAAAATTTATTAATATATATTATAAATATGACAATTATTACATCCTTTTAAAAATCTCATAAATCATGATTTATAATTTCATGAACTAATTATCCATTTTCTATATGAATATAGTTTACCCATCCTTTTTTATCATTTTATTTTTATCTTTATTTTTTAATCAATTTATTTTTGATAACCAAACGCACCTGAATGTTTTGTGACTAAAATGAATAGAAATAATATATTTATATTTTAAAAAATCCCATCTTCGAATGGATACGTACTATAGCACCAAGGGCCTTTTTACCCCTTCCGGACTCGTCATCTTTTGACGACATCTTTGGAAGCAACTTCTAGAATCAAACAATATATTCTCCTACATCCATCCAAAGTCAAACAACAAACAACAGTATATATGTATGTACAAGGCTAATTGTTGGTCAATTGGAATAGTGCATGTCTTAAAATAACCACATCATGCAGAAAAACACAAAAGAGTTGGTCCATCACAGAGGGGTAAAAATGAAAAACGACTGAAACATAATTTAAGGGCTTTGGTGAAATAAGTGCTAATTATTTAGTTCAGACTCATAAGCAGGGAAATTAAATTAAATTGTAACTATATATAACTAGATGGAGTGGTGTGAAAAAACAGAAGCTAAAACTAAAAATTGATCCTGAAAACTTTCACCTGGTAAAAGCTTGTAACGATCAAGTAGTGCTCAAGATATATAAAAATACGAATATAAAAGTTGAAACAAAAAATGAACTGAGTTTTTGTAATTCGAAAAGAAAAAAAAAAAACACTGAACTGAGTAAATAGATCAATTAAACACTGACAGATAACATAGATGGCATAAATATATAATTTAACCGTGTCTTACAATAATAGAGATGTGAATCTTTGCACAATTTGAAGATCTATAAGCCTCCGATCAACCACCAGCGATTAATCAGCTTTCCTTAGTGTTCCAACACAGATCAAGCATGAGACTACATCCTTTTATGGTGTTCAGAACAACCTTAAGAAACAGATGCTTCACACGAATCAAAAACAACCATAAACTGATCTGAAAGATGATGAACTTGTGAAATCAAACATGAAAGGAACATCAACAAGACAAGAAAGGAGTCCAACTGAGAAAATGAAAACAGAGGGGCGGAGTAACTTCCCATCTTTTTCTTTTCTGTTTTTTTTTTTTTGGGAGATAAAGGCAGTGACAAATTGAAAGAGCAGTTTTTTTTTTTTTTTTACTTTTCTTCTCGAAGAAATATCACAAAACCAGGAAAATAAAGCGCAGAAATGAGGAAATACAAGCAACACAAACGAGAGTGCAAAAAAAAAACGTTGAGAAATTAAGAAAGAGCCCGCAACAGCAAGGATTGATATGAAACATGAAACTAAAAAAGACGAGAGATGAAAGAGGAAATGAGAGCATCACTTATCAATAAAGGTTCGATTTCTTGAAGTTGGATGAAACCGAAAACTTGCAACGAGAAAGAAACGGGCAAGACAGCAAATGTCAGTGTTTTTTTTTTTTTTTGGTCAAGAAAAGTCCCGTGCATTCAACTGAATAAGCGTACAGTAACAAAAGAGTTCAAAAGCACAGAAAACAAAATGGTAAGGCCATGGATAAGTAGCTGGAGACTTCATAATAATTATCTTATTTCTTGATATTATTTTATCATTTGTTCCTTTTAAGGAGATTTATTTATCCTTTTTTTTTTTTTTACAATTTCCCTTGAGTATGTGGTCGTTTTGACGAGTTTGTAAAAGTTGGAAGTTTTTAAGATCTATTTTGATAGTTCTAGGTGTATTTTAATTAACATGTGATAAAATTAATTTCTGATAAATTAATTTCTCAGATTAGTTTTTAATATAATTGACTATACTTTGTAAAGATCAAAGTGTTATGATATTTTGATATATATACATATATAGAGGAAGTCTCAGAAATAAACTGGGTCAGATTTGTACTCGTAGCATTATTATTTTTACTTCATAACACAGACTCCAAAAGAGCCTAACCTCATGGCCTCTCTCTATCTTGCTCACTTTTATCTTTAAACAAACCAATTTCTCATAATTAGCTCCCTAATTATCCCTTACTCAAAAGTATTCACTCTTGTTCCTCTCTAGTCTAATCTCTACCAGGCTACTAGCTGAGCCTATTATTGTTGGATCTAGTTTCGTCTTGGTCGATGTGGTTTCATAATTCATTTGATGGACCCGACAACATGCAATGTGTAAAACCCTCTTGAAATTCTCTTATGTAATCATAATTAATTATACTAATCCAAAGCAATTGAGAGCCCAATCCAAAAAGGATTATTAAATTTGTAATTTATAGAATTAGGATTTTAATTTTTTACAGTTAGAATTTCTCCAAAATCATTTGACCAAATTTTAATTAGAATAAAATAATTAAAAGCATGTGATACCTTGAGAAATTAAAAAAACTCAAAATCAGTTGAAAACATTGAGTAGAATAAACAAAGAGGCATATCATGACATTTGCACATGCGCCGTGGTTGCCCTCCTTTGTGCCACCCGCCATGATGTGTTACACGTATCAAACAGTTACCCAGGGCAATTTTTGATGTGCCACATTTCTCCATTTAACATTTGAATGAAGTGATTTAAGTGTATACGGATAGTTCTTTTTATAAATTAGCTAATGGCATGAGTTTTACTTTTAAATTAAATTTCACAAAGAAGTTAGATACCCAAACACATTTTCACAACTTTTCACACTTTTCACAATTTAAGGGTTTCCAAAATCCCACACTTGTGCCAAAAGCTATTTCTGACACTCAAAACATACTCAAAGGACTTAGGATTACCTGTACAAAACAACACATGAATATAAACTCAATAATTTCAAATTTTTACTCTCGAACGCCTTTAATAACATAAATAGGAGGGGGAGATTTTAATATTGTGTTTCTCAAGCAATATTCATAATTATAATTAAATCAACATTCTTACACTTGCACCAGTATCTCAACCCTATTAACACTTTAACAACTTACATACAACGTCCTAAAACCCAAAATACATATCAAAAGTATAAACAATAATGTAGTACAAGTGTATGTACAAAATGCAATCTAATTGATAATATTCAATATATTACACAAAATAAGTAAGATGAGGAGGTTTCATAGTAGGAATTCCACAAATTCCAAAGCCTTCATAGTCTTTCCCTTTTTTACACTATAGCTAGAGCCTATAAAATATTGCAAGAAAGGGGTGAGTGTAGCCACTCAGTAATCAAAGTATATCTACCATATACAATTACATATCAATTGATTTAAAAACATATAAGTGAGAGTTGATTACTCAAATCATACTATTACATATGACACAAGTTATAATTTCATGACTTTACTTATTTTCACATTTTTCATTTCAAAATTACCAAGTACATTGCCATAATACACACAGTCATGTAACAATGACTTAATCCATCAATTCCATGCACGTTACCATAATATAGACAACCATATGATAATGGCACATTCACATCACAACTTGCCACAAACTTATCAACCATATGACATGTTGAATATACACATATGCATTTCTTATACGCTCCTTATATCTTTTGACTGAAACTATGGGCTATAATATCAGTTAGGGTCCTGTCTATGTGATTAGACTACCCGAGCTCACCAATTGTGAGGTGTGACTCGGCCAAAGATCACAACGCTCACTTTTGAATCACAACTTCCCCTACTCTCAAATCTCTGAAGTGTCGTATACTCTAAGCTAATCTCTTCCACAAACAAGTGGAGATAGTTAGATTCTAGTCTCTTGACAAACTATGAGATAAGGGTAACCTTTATGCATCAAGAGGCAACCATAATTACCATATGAATTTTCTACTCCTCTCCCTAAGCGAACTCTCACTAAATGATCATATAATATAATAAGCTCACTCATTTCACAACTTCATTACTCCATATCAATACATTGGGTTTTACGATATTACGTTACCCAAGTGAATATCATTATTATTTTCACAAACTCTCTCCACTTAAATTCTTAATTTCATAACACATCCTAAATTTTCATTAGTCACATGTGTAACATGTGTAACATTCATATGCTATAACAACCACACTAACTTATCAATTTGATAAACATTAAGGTTTAACACATAATAATGAACTATGCACATTTTCAAATAACATTTTGCCAACATTTCTAAATGGAGGATTCACATTTCACATATAATGCACACATCATTATTCATAAAATATAAATTTGGGAATCCATTAAGGCATTTTTCACAAACATAAATCAATTATTAAATAACTAAAAACAATAAATTTCTCCTAATTACTTCTAACCTTTGAAAGATCAAAGGTTTATCTTCAATAACTTGATTCCAAACTTACTTTATAAGCTAAATATAGTACCCAAATGATTAATCTACAATTATTGAAGTCTGAATTTATCAACATTATATTGTTAAATACACACTTCTAACTCTAAATTTTCCATTTTTAAAATACTCAAAGCCCTTATTTCTTACAATTAGGCTTCCCCATTCAGTATTTAACTCTCTTTAGCTCCCATTTGCTTTATTAAGCTTTCACATTATCATTAATGGCTTCCAAACCAAGTTTATCTATTATAATAAATGGCATCTTCAACCATTAATGCACTCATAACCACCAAAACATGTAAATCCATTATCCTTAGATTTAAATGCCTCAAACAATTCCTGTTAACTCCATTTAAGTCAATGATTTAAACTCATATTCTATATGAATTGAAAATGGTCTCTTATTATCAAACCCTAATAAAAAACTACAAAAAATAGGATGGGAAGGAAGAAGAATAGATTACAAAAGTTACTCTTGAGGTTTGATAGCTTCAAAATGCCTCTAACCTTTCTGAAATCAAAACCTTGACAGAGCTCTAAGTCTTTTACTTCCCCTTCTCTCATTTTCTCTTTTATTTTGCTCTGTTTTTATAGCAGTCCTCACCCCACCCCACTGGAGGTCTTTTAAAATGGGCCAACTCACCTCACGGCTTTTCTCAAGGTGGTACTTGAGTTATTTTTTATCTCATCAAAAAGGTCTTTTAAAACCTTCCTAAGCTTTAACCTCCAACCTCCCCATTCCTTTTCCTCTCTCTTCTTTGTGACTACTACTAAAATTTGGATAATTAATAAAAATATTAGTTTGTATTACAAAATAAAGTGTAAAAATACAATAAATATTATAAAATATTTTTTAACTTCTCAAATAAAATATTAAGTAATACATAATATCTAAGATATCATAACATTAGCTTTTCTATTTTTTAGTTTCTATACAAACGTAACACTTTCTAATGAAATAAAAATAATTTTCTGTAATTATTCATATTGAAAATATTTATCCTAAAAGCATATGATACTTTTCATCTTAACAAAAATTGTATGATATTAATAACTAGCAATTATACTATAATTTTTCAATGAAAATTTGGCTGTTTCTTTTGTATCATTTGGTGTGGTTTCATAAGTCATTTGATGGACCCGACCACATGCAACTTAAAGAAATGGACCGTGAGCGAGGGGGTGGAAAAACATCAAGCAAGCTGTCAAGCATCATCACCAACAGTGTGAGCACCAATAATTACACTCCTAATAAGCCAAGAGCATATGCCCTACTCCGTCTCCCTCTCGCTTGGCGCCTATTTGAATACTCTTTTAAAATTAATTTTAAATTTAAAATTATAGTTTTAAAAAATTTTATTTAAACATCTCAATTTTTCAAACTCTATTTAATTTCAAAACTCGTTAAAATTTATTTCATTTTAAAAAATTAATATCATAATCAATTTTTAAAATTTTATCTAAATACTATCACATTCTAATAATTAATTTTTTTAATTAATTTTTTTTAATTAAAATCCAAACACACCCTTAATCTTTTCTTTACCCGTTCCTTTCCCACCCTCTTCTTCGTCAGTTGATTCCTTCCCTCCCTCCCTCCCTCCCTCTCCCTCTCTTTCTTTGTGACTACTACTGAAGTTTGGATAGTTAATAAAAAGATTGGTTTGTATTACAAAATACAGTGTAAAAATGCAATAAATATTATACAATATTTTTAAAATTCTCAAATAAAATATTAAGTAATACTTAATATCTAAAATATCATAACATTAGGTTTTTTATTTTTTAAATTTCTACACTTTCATATATAAACGTAACACTTTCTGATGAAATAAAAATAATTTTCTGTAATTATTCATGTCGAAAATATTTATCGTAAAAGCGTATGATACTTTTCATCTTAACAAAAATTGTATGATATTAATAACTAGCATTTATACTGTAATTTTTCAATATAAATTTGGCTACTTCTTTTGTATCATTTGGTGCGGTTTCATAATTCATTTGATGGACCCGACCACATGCAACTTAAAGAAATGGGCCGTAAGTGAAGGGGTGGAAAAACATAAAGCAAACTGTCAAGCATCATCAGTCATCACCAACAGTGTGAGCACCAACAATTACACTCCTAATAGGCAAGTAGCATATGCCCTACTCCCTCTCCCTCTCGCTTTGTCTTTTCTTTACCCGGTCCTTTCCCTCCCTCTTTTTCGTCAGTCAATTCCTTCCTTTCTTCCCTCCCTGCCTCTCTCTCTCTCTCTTCTTCGTGACTACTACTGAAATTTGTGTAGTTAATAAAAATATTGATTTGTATTACAAAATAAAGTGTAAAAATATAATAATATTATAAAATATTTTTTACTTCTCAAATAAAATATTAAATAATACTTAATATTTAAAATATCATAACATTAGGTTTTCTATTTTTTAATTTCTACACTTTCATATATAAACGTAACACTTTCTAATGAAATAAAAATATTTTTCTATAATTATTCATATTGACAATATTTATACTAAAAGCGTATGATACTTTTCATGTTAACAAAAATTGTATGATATTAATAACTAATATTTATACTATAATTTTTCAATATAAATTTAGCTTGTATCAAGATAATTTTATATTTTAATTTTGTATTATTTTATAGTTGTTTTATATTTTCTTATGTCGTTAATTTTAATTTTTAATTTTTATATTAATTTAATATATATTTAGAATTTTATTTTTAAAATAATAATTTTTTACTGGGTATAAAATTTTGCCCCCATTAATAAACTCTTCTTGGTCCATCACTGCATGTTGGTCGGGTTAGATACTTTTTCCAATTAATATTTTAATTGGTCCTTTCCCTCAAATTTTCCCATGTTTAGTTTGTATTTGCTTCTAGAATATTGATCATTTAATTCTTGTATTTTGGAAATGCATAAAATTTAATTTGATCCAATTCAATTTTTTATGTTTTAGCCATTTAATCTAGAAAAAATAGTCTACAAGTTCTTATAATTTTTTAAATTTAAAATTAAATTCTTATAGTTTGTTTTGTTTCGAGCCTTTATATTCTAATTTGTTAAATTCATTAATCCTTGAATGTTATAATCATTAATGAAAAGTTGATTTTTTTCAAAACAAAAATACTTTTGAAATTTATAAAAAATTGTTTAATACTTTTTTTAAAAAAATTGAATTTAATATAATATATAAATATTTTATCATTTTTTATAAAAAAATTATATGGATGAAAACGTTTTGGAAGACATGGCCACTAATTTTGTCTTATTGTGACTCCAATATAGCTAAAAAGTATGATACCCATTTATTTTTTTTAACATTTTAGTATTTTTATGGAATTTTTTGAAATGAAATAATTGCAGAATTTAAAAATAAAAACTTCAATTTTAAATATGCATGTTTGTGCGTGAATTAATTTTGAATTATAAAAATTATGTAAGTAATTAAAAAGTTATATAATCACTAAATAAAAAAGCAAAAATATTTAATTTTTTTAGGGAAAATTCAGGAATTTTAACATTGATATATTAACATATCTAATATGGAGATTCAACTTGTCCTTATATTTTATGACCATGTTACATCTCATTTTTTAAAGGATTAGATTTTGACTCTAAGGGTTTAGGAATTTGTTACAACTGATTATAAAGCATGATCATTAAATACTTTTATGCTAATTATTTTTTTAATTAAGAAATTAATATAAATATTCAAATTGTCCTTAATTTAGGATTTTAAATATGAACTTACGAATTATTACAATTTTAAAAAGAAAAGTTATGGATCTCAGAATAAAACTTATAGATAAAAAATAATATTTACAATATTTGAGAAATATCAGAATTTTAAATGAAAACTTGCAAATTGTTATTAAATTCTTGTATTTTTAAAAAGAAAAGTTGTGAATCTTAGAATAAAATTTGTGAATAACAATTGATATTTGTAATACTTGAAGAATATTAAGATTTCAAATACAAACTTGCGAATTATTGTTGAATTCTTGTAATTTTAAAAAAAATTTATAAATCTTAGAATAAAATATGTGAATAACAATTGATATTTAAACTAAAAATATTTTAATCATTTATATTAATTTTTTAATGATAAAAAAGTTTCTAAAAACTTTATTAGTATTATGATATTTTGAAGGATTCACTTATCATTTACATAATTTAAAGAAATTTTATTATTATTTTTTAAAAAAAGAAAAAGGACTCTTAAAACTTAATTAGAATCAAGGACTTTCGAGAAGTTGCACATGCTTTGCGCCCTCAAAAATTAAAAATGTCTCAATGGGGCCTTGGGTGTGGTATTTTTCCTCGAAATTTCATTACAACGAAGCTACGCGGGCCCCTGACCAACGCCATTATTATAAAGTCTGACCTCCCTGTAATATCATCTTCTTAGTTATCTTCATCTCTTGTTGATCTTCTTCCCACCTCGGGAGCTGCTCCGCTCAGACGTCCTTCACCAAAAATTGAGATCTTTCATCGGAATCAAGATTCAGACCACCTCCAGAAAGAAGCTGGATATCATCTTCTGCTCGAGTTCTGGGTTTATATATGCACAAGTCATCACTGCATCTTATTCTTAATCAATTTCTCTTGTGAGTTGTGGTAACTTTTTAATGTTGAAGCAGCTTCATTTAGAACTCAAATATCCATGTTCTGAATCTTACAGTCAAGCACCGGCTTTAGCTTTATGTAGCAGTTTTTTACTTTGATGTGTTTCGGCTTATCATGAAAAAGGTAAAATGAAGAAGACGGAACAATAAAAATTAAAAATGCTAGCTTCGTAACCGGTAAGCTGTAATATATATAATAGCATTAATGGTCAAAACATATATATATATATATATATATATATAATAGCGTTTAAATTTAGAATTTTATTCTTCTTTGACGTATAATGATCCATATGACAGTATAGCATATCTTCTTACTTCTTTAATTATTTGAATAACTGATATTTCTATTTCCATATACAGCATCATTTTAAATTACCTAAACATATAGTAATCCTCTTTTGGCCATGTTCTGGGTAAACATGAGCCGTCACTTTCTTTAATTTTTACATAATGTCTCTTGTAATTTTTCATAGTATTTGATATTGAAACAGCTTTAGGACTCGCGCGCGTGCGGGTGCGGGTGCGGGTGCGGGTGCGTGTGCGTGTGTGTGTGTGACTTTTACAATCATAACATATTTTGAGTTTAATTAACTCAGGAGATTCAAAGTACCCGAAGCTGCTTTGCTGTTGGAGAAAAGGCTAGGAAATTAGGGAAAGAAGACTAAGTATTGATTACAAGTAACTGATTTTTCTTCTGACTTCCCCACCACAAAAAAAAAAAAAAAACTTAAAGCAGCAGTAGGGTATATTGATTATTTGAAACGGAATTTTTTTCTTTTTCAATTAATGTAGTAATATAAAAATAAAATGACAAAGCACCGTCGCCATTCATTTACTATTTATTTTGCATTTATTATTTTTGAATAATTAATTTATTTTTTAAATTCAAATAATATTGAAAACATTTCAATTTAGAATGAAATGGAAAATAATTGCCATTAATGAAATGAGGATGTAATGGAATATTTTTATTATTTGGGAGTTTTAACTGGAAAAGGAACAATTTTATTTGGAGAGAATGAAAAAAAACAACTTAAAACATACAAATAATAAAATTCTTGTCTACAATAAAACTTGTCTGACATATTAGCTTTTGGTAAAATGACAAATTTTTTACCAATTTAAAATTTGATATGAAACATAGACAAGACAATGACTATTGAAGAATAAGGGATACAATGAATAACAATTTTTTTGTAGATAAATAACTAAAATTTTAATAGATACTCCCTCCGTTTAAAAATATAAAATATTTTTAAATTAAATTTTACATTCTTAATAAAATATTTATCTACTTTTAAATTAACTATATTTTTTTATATTTATTTCTATTAAATACTCTACAATAAATATAAAGTCACTATCAATAGAGACATTTTTTAAAAAAATAATGATTACACCTTAAAAAATTAAAAATATCTTATATTTTTTAACATTAAATTTTTTAAAATATCTTATATTTTTTTAACGGTGGGAGTAATAAATTACAATATCTGTTTTAATTAAAAACAAAGTACAAGTAGGTTTATGCCGTCACTCTTTTTCAATTAATTTTTCTTGTGAGTTGTGATAAATGTGATGTTGAAAGGGTTATATATATATATATATATATAATTTGAATTGCAACCTAAAGTACTGGATTTTGCAGGAAAAAAAAATGTCAAGTTGATGTTAAGCTGCTTAATTGGTGATTATCATTAAGCCAAAGGGAAGAACGAAGAATTAAAAAATCCAAACGACGCTTGATAACTAGTAAGTTGTTCATATTTTACTTAATTGATGAAGATTTTATTCTCCCTCAACATGTATATACATTGATATGTGAGCATGTGACATTATACCATATCATTTTACTTGTCTTAATTGAACAATAAATATCTACTTAAAAAAAAAAGCTATGGCAGTGTTTATATTTTTAATTTCATAACTTTTACAAAATGCTACAAGTTTTAGTGCAATCTAAATTACATATTCTCTTTATTTAAAAAGATAAAAGTATTTTTAAAGAGTTTGATGTTAAAAAATGTAAAGCATTCTTAATCTTTTAAGGTATAATCATCATGGTATTGAAAATTGGATCGGACTGGTCGGGTCAACTTGGAAACCGATGACCTGGTCCCTTGTTCAGTCTGGGTTTATCCTTAACTCAGTGATGGAGTAAACCGATGTAACCCGGTCAACCCGAGTTTAACCGGTATTAACCCGGTTTGACCGGGTTAACCGAGTTATTATTTTTTCAAACTTTTACCCCCAAAATGATGTCGTTTTTTTTTTTCATTTTTAATTTTTCAGAGCTCTGAGTTCGGAATAAGATAACAAAAAAAGTGAAATTGAAGTCAAAAAATGAAAAATTAGAGACAAAGCATGCTAAATCTAAAAATATAGTATTTTATTATTATTAAACTTTTGAATAGTTGGATTTGGTTGAATATTTTTATAATTAATGTCTTTTTATTTAAATTATATTATTTTAATTATGATTGGTTTGCCACCGATTCACCCCCGGTTCAACCCCGATTGAACCACTAACCCGTGACCCAGTGCCATGACTGGTTTAATGACCGATCCGGTTTTACGAACCTCGGTAATCATTATCTTTTTTTCAAAAGTGTCCCTATTGATGAATGGCTTTGTATTTATGGTAAGATGTTTAATGGAAATAAATATATAAAGATAAGGTTAGTTTAAAAGTTAATAACTATTTTATTAGGGAGTGAAATTGAATTAAAATATATTATATTTTTAAACAGATAAATATAATATTTTGAGATAAATGTTACAAGAGAGTAACACAAGCCGAAACGTTTTCATAAAGAAATATTACCTCTTGTATATATTAATTATTATTATTATTATTATTATTATTATTATTATTTAAATAGAAAGTCACAAGAAATGCCATCACTTATTTATTTATTATTGTTTAAATTTTAAATAAATGAGGCAGAATTTTCTAGATAAAACCATCTTGCATTCCTTTTTGAAAATTATATATAGTTCTCGTGAAATAGATTTATTTATAAATAAATTTTATAAAATTTAAAATTCACAAATAAGTCTCTTGGATCTAAATGGAATTTGAAATTGAAATATAAAGACAATAATATCTCTATTAAAAATACGTTACATTTATTAATAATACAACTATTACTTTACTTAACTTTTTACAATTGTAACTCAGATATCTAATAATTAAATTAATTATATGTTACAGTAAGATCAATTGTATACCACTACTTCATCAGTAATTTATAGCTTTTACTTCAACTTTTTATAACTACACAATTTTACATATTTAATGATTAAATCAATCACATGTTATTAATAATTTTAATATATAACTACCTTATTAATAATTTATAACTATTTCATTAATAATTTAATGATCTAGCAAAAATTTATTCACAAATAAAGACTAATAACAAATCTTAATTTGAGAGAAAAAAAGCCGATATTCACATTTTAACAATAATTTATTTTATATTATTTCTTGTTTGTAAATAATTTTTGTCAGGTTTTTTGACGTGATTCTCTCTCTATTTAATTTCTATGAAATTGAGCATTTCAAATCAGAAATATTTTTCAATCCATGATCAAGGTTAATTCTACGTAACAAATGACAGTATAAAAATGCTATTATTTTATTGCATTTATGATTAATTTAGAAGATGATAATCACATATTTTTGTTAGGATTATTGGCAAGAAAAAAATATTAATAAGGAAAAACAATTTTGAAAGATAAACTATGAAATGGGGAAAATGTTAAACTTCAAGCAGCTTGGAAAACATGCATGTTATTTAACAACAAAGTTGCATGCAATTATCTTCTTTTGAAAGATAAGATACTATCCCTCCTCTATCAAACTTGTTTGGTTAATTAACGTTT